TCCACGCTTTGCGGTTTACCCAGAAGTGTCATTGCTGGGTCGTGGGGTAATGGCCCAGGTAATGTTTCGAGGACCTGCATATCCTTGTCCTTAGTGGCTGGACCATTTTGCTGTCCCTTAATGGGTACAACTGGTGCAAAGCTCTTGGTCAGCCTGGAGGCACTAATGCACACAGGTTGGGGTTTGTGGCATTTTAATGTCTTTGAAAATGGGGTCACACCTTGCCGTAAATGGTCTCCCTCTGTCTTGGTTGTCACTATTTTCCCTCTGGCTTTCTGATTGGTCCTTAAATTCATGGCGCTCCCTACGAGTCTGCATGGCTGGCAGGTGGTGTTGAGGACATGCTGACCCTGCAGCCTGCGTGGACCCACACAGCCGTGGGGACCCACAGAGGTCTTGGTGCCCCACTGGTGATGGTGGCTCTTGTTCCCCGCCCAGATGGTCCCCTGCCTTGACGCCATCCATGTCACCTGTGGCTTCTTTCAGGGTCCACCTGTAACACCCACCTGCCTCGCACCGTCACCCCTCCGTCCTGCTCATCCTTTTGGCCTGGCCTTGGTGTCACTGTCCCTTGTCACTGCAGCTCCACCCTGCCTGCAGACTTCTCTCACCCTCTGTCCCTTCCTGAATCTGCCATGCTTGCTGCCCGGCTGGCCACCCCCACCCCTAGCTCCAGCCTAGCCCCTCCCAGGACGGCTGCCAACTGAACCGTTTCCTCCAAGGCCCTGCCAGCTCCTACGTGGGGGCTGGCCACCTCTTGAGCATTTCCTGTGACTTCTATTTTCTCTCCCTTTGCCCCTTAATCTGTTTTTCTTTGCTTGCCTGCCCCCAGCTGGAAGGCCTCTGCCTTCCTGCTTCCTCCTGAAACCCCCTGCCTCTGCGCCCCTCTGCTCCCCCTCCCCTCCCCTCCTCCTCCCCCTCCCCAGGCTCCGCCCCTCCCACCTCTGCAGCCCCTTCCTCCCTGCGGTGCCATCCTGGCTTCCTGGGCCCCCCCCCAGTGGAGGGTGCCCTGTCTCTGTGCTCACCAGAAACACCTGCCACAGCTTTCCAGCCACACCCTGCGCTGGGAGTGGAGAGGATCTGGGCACCAGGGGAGCACCTGCCAGGCTCCCCTCTGTCCCTTCGTCCCTGCCCTCTCTTCCCATAGTCCTTGCACCCGGAGGGGCCAGCACCTCCCTTCTGCACACCCTTCTCTGCTGGCCATAGGGCCCAAGTGGGAGTCACAGCAGGCAGCGCCGTCTTCTCCCTCTGCGGTGCTTCTGGGATGGGAGGTCAGCCTGGTTGACGGGGGGGGAGAAGAGGAGCCCAGTGCAGGTGGGCGCCCTCCCTCCAGCCAGCTAGGTGTCCTCCCAGCTCAGCTGCCTTTTCCTGTCCTGCTCCAGACAGGAGCCTTGAAGGGAGGGGTCCGGAGGGGAAGTGGATGGTGCCCTGTTCTGTTCGGCTGGTAGTTAGTGCTGTGTCCTGCAGCTGAAGGCCTGTGGGCAGGTAGGAATGGGCCAGTGGGCCCCTGTGGACTCTATGACGCACTGGAGATCCGGCAGGGGCCCGGCCCCCAGCCCCAGCCCCTTCCTAACTCAGATCCGACTTCTGCCTCTGCGACAGGCCAGCGCTTGCTGCTGAGGCTTCCTGTGCCCACACTGTAGGCTCCTTCCACCCCACATGGCAGCTTCCCAGTTCAGGTCCTTAAAGTGAAGGGAGCCAGACGCCTTGGGGCACGCCTGAAATCCCAGTGGCTCTGGAGGCTGAGGCAGGAGGATCACAAGTTCAAAGCCAGCCTCAGCAACAGCAAGGTGCTGAGCAACTCAGTGAGACCCTGTCTCTAAATAAAATACAAAATAGGGCTGGGGACGGGGCTCAGTGGCTGAATGCTCCTGAATTCAATCCCTGCCCCCCCCCCCACTAAAAAAAAGTGAAAGTGAAGAGGAGTGTTTGCTCCTGTTCCTGGGAAGTTCACATTTGGGGTTGGCGCACTTTGCTGCAGGTCTGCACTGAGTCTATCCAGTGGGTCTGGCTCTTGGGGAGCGTCAAACCTTCCCCCACCATCCCACCACCCACCCACCCCAGGCAGGCAGTGGCAGTGCCAAGGCGGTATCTCTGTGTTGAGCCTGTCCTAGCCTCTTCCACACTGTCCTGCAGTCTTCTCTCTGGAGCCTCCACGTGACCTCTTCCCAGAGGCCTCCCTGACTCGCCCTCTCCCTGCTTTCTAACATGCCCTGCGTGTGGGGTCTGGATTGTTACAGTAGTGTGCATGAGCATGTCCACTGTCACACTAGAATGCAGGGATGCGGCAGATGAAGCCATATCTTGTGGGTCATTCCTGTGACCCAGGGTAGAGGCTGAAGAAAAGTAGATACCCAGAAACCCTCGTTGGCTGCGTGTGAGTGAATGACCACGTAACCCACGAGGCAGGTGGTCTCAGGGTGGAGGACTTGGCTCCATAAGCCTCTTCAGAGAGGAAAACCTTCCCCATTTGGTCTCCTGTCCCCTGGCCGCAAGAGAAGGCTGTACTTGCAGGTGACTCTGCAGGGACTAGGCTTTGCCTGTCTCTGTGTTGATGAGGCTGGAGGTCAGTGCACCTCTGCCTGCCACGTGCAGTGTGTTGCTCGCACACGCACAACCTCCCCAGGCCGGGGCCGCCAGCCAGCCGTGCTCCTCCAGGCCTCCTGGGCCTGAAATCCCCTCTGAACACGTGTGCTTCTAAATACATGGTGACATGTGTGTGCATGTGTGTGTGGGGATAGGTATGAGTGTGCATGGGTGTGAGTGTGTGCAAGTGTGGATGGAGTCATCTCCATCCACATCTATGAGTGTGTGCCTGTGGGAGGAGTGAGTGTGTGTGAGTGAGTGTGGATGGGTGTGAGTGTGTAAGTCACATAAGTGCGGGCACGTTGATCAGGAGGGCAGACAGGACTGCCCACCACTCCTCAGGCTGCGTGCTTGGTCACCTCTGTAGGGCACCCCAGCTGCTCTCAGCCTGCTCTTTGTATTTAGGATCCCTCAGCTCACATGTCTCTTTTTATTCCCAAAATCCAGTTGAAGATCAGAAATTCCAGTTGGGAGAGAGATTATGCTCTAGAAGAACGCCAGAGGACAGGGTGGCTGGGACCTGGAGCGTCGAGGCCCACGGAGGGCCTTGGCCTCAGCCCCAGGCCAGGTCTGCCCTTGGACGCTCAGCAGAGCTGCTGTCCCCGAGGTCTCAATCCAGGACCTCTGTGCAAGGCAGGGGTGGGCAGCAGGAGAAGTCCTGGCATCCTGGGGGACATGGTGGTGTTAGGGGACACAGCCTGCTGGAGGACATGATGATGCTGGGTGACATGATGGCATTCGGGACTGTCATGCTTCCTTTCCCTCTGGGTCCCTTAGGAAGGGCCGAGAAGGATGCTCATAGTCATAGTCACAAATGGAGTTAAAATCAAGTGGGAAGAAAAGCTGTCCCTGAGGGCTAATCCTCGAGGCACCTGATCAGCTGCAGGACGTGAGGAGGCCTAGACAGAGCAGCTTGCAGGGATCAGTGGGGACACAGGAGGTCGAGGAAGCTAATTATAGAGCCGTGCCAGAGATGAGGGAGGGCTGCAAGTCCTTTCTGTACACCCAAATTTTGAAAATAAGGAGTTCTTTCCCTCCAGGAGCTAAATGGAGGGGAGATGGACGAGAGGAAATATGGTCCCAGTAGCCGTCTGTGCGCGTCGACAGCTGCAGAGGGGAGACTGTCCCCTTCAGTGGGCACATCAGTGAGGGTCACGCTGTGACGCTGAACTGCCTGGCAGCTGGGATGCTCCTCTTCTGACAGCTAAAGCGGCCAGCTTGCCGACAGGGGCTCTCAGTGTGCATTTCCTGGGCCCATCCTGGGCCAGCGCAGGGGTGGGTGCTAGGAAGAAGGCAGGTCCTGCCAAGGTGGAGTGGAACAGAGGGTGCAGCTCGGAACGAGGACCTGCTGGGGGTTCCCAGGAGGGCTCACCCCATGGTGGGACGCTAAAGGGTGGGCCACACAGAAGGACCCTGGGGTTGGAAGGAAACAAGGGGGCTGGGGGAGGTGGCCTGTGGGAGAAGCCCTTGAACCTTGGGCAAGGCCTGGCCTTTTCTGTAGATCCTGGGGAACCCGGAAGCTGGGTTTCAGGCAGCCTGACTGCAGGTGCGTGGAGCAGAGCACGTGACCTGGGACAGGAGAGGCGTGCGGGAGGCTTTCACAGAGTCCTGTGTGAGGCACTGGGCTCCCCTGCCAGGGTGTGACGGGGCAGGGATGGCCTTGACCCTACACGGCTGGCCTGGCCTATCTCCTTCCCAGTGGGCTGGAAGCTCACCCACAGGCCTCATCAGGCAGGTGCCAGGACTTGGTGGAGTGAGAGGCGGCAAGCAGCACTCTCCAGGGAGGAACACTCAGGGCTTCGAGGGGTGCTTCTCTTGGGGTCACAGAAAGAGCTTCAGGGCCCCTTGTCTACTCCACTGTCCCGAGGGACTGGGACCAGCACCTTCTGCTCCAGCCCTCCCACTCTGCAGCTGGACAGGGTCCAGGGAGGTGGGGTTCCAGGCCACAGGAGAGGGGGATGCCAGCTGGTCCCCTGACTCCTCGCCCTGAGATCTTACTCTGTTTCAAGACCAAGACGGACCACTAACCTGTTCAAAGTCCAGGGCTGGCAGAAGGGGGTGGAAAGGCTGCAAGAGGAAGGAAGGGAACAGAGACTTGGCACTCGCTCCAGGCCGGGTGCTGCGTCTGCATCAACTCAAGTTCACCATCGCGTTGCGTGAAACCGGAGCTGCAGTCACAGTGGGGGTGGGCTGCCCCTACCAGATGGCGTCATTCCCCCCGGGCCACATGGGTGACCTGTCCAATGCCAAACCTTTGCCCTTTTGCCCAACCTGAAGGGGTTAGTCATCTCTGCCCGGTGGGGTGCCCAGTCTGGAGTGGGTAGGAAGCCCCTCGATAAAGAAGAGGAGACACAGACAACAAAATCCCTGACTCCCTCTTCCTTTGCCATTTCAGCTGTCTGGGCCTCCGCGTCATGAGCAGCTCTCCAAGGGACACCCAGGGCCCAAATCACCCGCAGTGCCTCCTGCCCTCTGTCACCCACGTCCCACCTGCCAAGAAGATAACCTTCCTCAAGCGCGGGGATGCGCGGTTCGCAGGAGTTCGCCTGGCCGTGCACCAGCGCAGCTTCAAGACCTTCAGTGCCCTGATGGACGAGCTCTCCCAGCGCGTGCCTCTCTCCTTTGGGGTGCGCTCCGTCACCACACCCCGGGGCCTGCATGGCCTCAGTGCCCTGGAGCAGCTACAAGATGGGGGCTGCTACCTTTGCTCAGATAGAAAGCCCCCCAAGACCCCCAGTGGGCCGGGCCAGCTGCGGGGGAGGAGCCCCTCTGCTCTTCAGTCCCAGGACTTGGATGGCGGGCGGGAGGTGCCAGGAGCATCCTCTTCCTGGAAAGGACCTAGAGCCCCAAGGAGGATAACGCTGGTTAAGAACAGGGACCCCAGGTTCCAGGAGACGGTGGTTCTCAGCCACAGGAACACCAGGAGCCTGGTGGCCTTTCTCAGCAAAGCCTCGGATCTCCTGCGCTTCCCCGTGAGGCAGATATACACCACCAGTGGGAAGAAGGTAGGCTGTCGGGCCATATTTCCTTAACAAAGCCTCCGGACCTCAGGTCAGAACACAGATGGGACGGGAGGCTCCTCCTGACTGCTGTACGCTACCCACAGATGGACAGCGGGAAGGCCCCAGCCAGGCCTCTGGTGGAGCAGGAACTGCTCCCCACATCTCCAGAGCCATTTCCCGAGCACTTAGCAAGAGCCAGGCTCCTGCTTGGCACACTCTTGATTTTCTTCCCCAGTCCTCTCGGCAGCCTCCTTCCATGAGAGTTCAGAGCAATCAAAATCATGCTTATATTCTCTCCTGAAGTCACCCCCTACTGTACCCCTGTTTCGAATTCAACCACAACCCACATGGCATCCTTTATGTTAAGGTCTATTGAAGTCCATGCCCATCAAAATACCTTAGTTAAAGTGGTGTTAATAATTTGATAGCAAAAAGTAGGAAATTGGTTAATATAGATAGACCTAATATGGTTACTTGGCAGAGGTGGGAAGGAGATGAGCTTTGTCTCACGAGGCTGTTGGTATTTAAAATCCCTCCACTCCCCATCCTTGCTCCTTCTGCTCCCACCAGGGCGTACCTGGCAGAGGGAGCCACGCTCTGAGGTTGAGCCTCAGAGCTCCTCCTGGACGCGGCTGCCGCGGCTGTGTTGACTTCTCTCCCTGCCGGGGCAGCCCCAGACAGGCACCCCAACAGATTCTGTGTAACGGCGACCTACTTGCCCTTGACGATAACCACCCACCGCACCCCACACGGGAGCCCTCTAGTTGCCTGTCGGCTCATCGTCATGGGCAACTCCACACACCCAGGTGGCGGTCTCCACTTTCAGCTCATGGAGCCGCCATGTGACTCCAGGGGGGATTCTCCTGGGTCCTGGGGCCTCCCAGCCAGCAGATGCCCAAGTTGCTGGGATGGGAAGCAAAATGTTTGCAGCCACAGGTGCAAAGAAGGGCACCTGATTCACAGGTGTACCAGGGCGGGGAGCCACTCTCACTTCCTGCCCGTAGTCCCCAGGTGTCTGCAGTCTGCTCTTGAAGCACTTGTCGACATCCTGTAAGGTAATACCTCAGGGGACGCTTCCCAGATGGCTCCCAAATGGAGTCTTCCAGAAACTGTCTCGCTGTTCCCATGCTACAGGTGCTCTGGGGCGGTGGCATATACCACCTGCCACACAGTGAATTCCTTGGGGTGAAGCCCTGTCCAAGTCTTTACTATAAAATCAGTTCTTTGGGAGGAAGTGCTCTGGGGTTAAGTCCACAGAAGAATGACGGACAAGACACAAAACCTATCCAAAATAAATGTCCATCTCGGTGATGACACGTGGCTGGCCATCTCCTAGACAGGAGCTCAGTGTCCTTAGCTCCCCACCAGGTGGCTGGCTGAGTCCCTCGGGGTATGATGCAGAGCATGAGGTTAGCCTGGGTCTCTGCTCCTGGCAGACCCAGCCCTGAGAGAATGTGGCAGCCAGATCTATGTGGACCAAGTGGAGCTCGCATCCTCTTTTGTGTGACTCAGCCACTCTGTGCAGGAGCTGACGGAGCATGCCTGGGGAGCTGAAGAAGGAGGGCACCGGGCTCCACTGTGCAGGTCAACTTGTCCACGTGATGATCATCACTCTTTGATGAACAAGCAGGGCACCATGTTCTCTCCCTCTGGGCGGATCCTGAAAGATCCTTTCACAGATCCTTCTCTGCACTTCCTCACCACCAGTTTTCCAGTCCTCCCCAAGTCCCTGATTGTCAGATTGTACCGCCAACCACTGCCCATAAGTGGCAGAGAGCCTCTTGCCATTTCTCCTTCCAGGAAGATAGTCAACCAAATCCCCTGCCTTTCCTTCCTCATTGCCCTTCGTGAGGCTGCGTGGGTCTGTAATGCGGCCACACCACCTCCGGCCAGGTGGCCATATTCTGGGACCCAGAACCCAACCTGTTCTTCAGTGAACTGGTCCTAGGGAATTCCCCAGGAAGCCCCAGGTGTGTGCTGAGGGGAGGCAGCTTTGCCACAGGTGAACTGCGAGTGGGAGCCACCTGCCCAAGCAACCTAGTCACGCCTCCATTCACTCTTCTTGAGCCTGACCCCGAGTGTGTCTTCCTCCTGGTGAAGGAGCGCTGCCCCGACACCGGCTATGCAGCTCCGTGGGCTGCCGGGCCCCAGTCAGCTGTGTTCCAGCAGAATCAGTTTCTGCATCTGAGTTTTGGCTAGTGGTTGTGGAAGCTCCCAAGCCCTCGCGCTGTCCTCAGAGGAGGGTTTAGAGGTGGAGCTGCCAATTCTGAGGCTCAAGGCAGCATGCCCCCTGTTCAGTCCTGCTTAGTCTCCCGACGACTCTGTTGTGGCAGCCAGGGCAGCCACAGTCCTGCTCTCAGTACACCACTTCTACCACTCAAGGTCACCACTTAAGTACCTACTTTGTCACTGTGTGCCATGGGCTACCAGTGTCCCCTTGTCACCAGTTTATCATCACCTTCGAATCCAACCAGGCCAGATAACTAACCCCAGATTCTCTTCCTGAGGGCCTAGTCCCTCGAACACCTCTGATAACACACTCTGTCAGCTGTGGCTCGGCACAGGAAAGAGTCCCCTCTCGGTATCTTACGTAGGGAGGAGTTCTGCACCGAGGGCGAGTCACTGAGAGGCTGGAGGAGCCCAGGCTGCATTCCTGGAGAAGATTCCAGAATATCACCAAACTGATCTCTAACAGTCTGCATATTGGACCATTGGGTGACTGTCACTGGGATGACTGGGTTCAGTGTTACCCCTCCGTCTCTGGGACCCAGCCTGGGGAGGGTGATGGGTCACAGTTGTCTGTCGATGCTCAGGAGCTGGTGAGTGGGCACTGAAATAATGAGTGTCACTTTTGCCATCTTTGCGGCTCAGCCTCTCTGTGCCTGTTGCTTGCCGGCAAGTCAAAAGGTGAAAGAAGGTGACCTCTGCTTTGCTGCCATGTTCCCTGTCTTGGGCATCCAATGAGAGGGACGGATTCATGAGGAGAGCCCTAGCTGCACGGGAGATCTGGAAGCTCCCAGCTTCCTGAGCATTCTGGAGAGCAGCCTAGAGAGGGTGTTTCAGAGATGGCCTGGTCCAGAGCCTAGCCTCCACCACACACACACCCAGGGACAGCTAATGTTATTATCCCCTTTGGATAGAAAAGGAAAACGAGGCACAGAGGCTAAGTAATTTGTTTGAAGTTGCACAGCTGACAAAGGGCAGCACCAGCATCCGTGGTTTCAAAGTCATAATGCAAAAATGCTCTTGAATTATTGAGGACTTACCACGTCCTAGCATGTGCCACGTACAGAGACCACGAAAAATAAGTCCCTACCTTGGGTACCTTGGGTTAGCTCACACTCTGGAGGGTTTAGTGAGGGAGAGAACAGACACAAAATATGTAAAAAAGAGTTATTAGGATATGTTCAGCAGACTCAGGGCAGAGCTGTTAGCATTTCTGTAGACACCCCAGGGAAGGCTGTCATGACTTCACTTTGGGGTCCTCTGCTGGATGAGCTCCTGATAATGCCCTTTTGTTCACAGACTCTAGATTCCACTCGCCCCCAGGGGTGAAAGCACCATTCAGATCTCAGTTCCGTCTGCTCTCCTGGAGAGTATTTCCCTAGGCGTGCGGCTCCATCTATAAACTGAAAGACCTGGCTCATGTCTGTAGTTTTGAGATGGACTAGAAATCTAAATCCAAGAAGAAATGCACCTAGAAGTTGAAAACACACGTCTAATTAACTGGGCTGAACGATCTGGAGTATACGAAATTGGTGTCATTTGGGGGGAGACTAAGAGTTCTCTGTCATTCCCTTGCTAATGAGAGTAAACTCTTCTAATTAGAGAAAATGAAAAAGAACATATTCTGCCCTTTAAAGATGAAATAAGTCCCCTGACACAGCTAGTGATGGCAGCAAGAGTGCAAACACTCGGAGGTGCAGGGGCCTCTGGGGCCAGGTGAGATTGTTTTTAAAGCAGGGGCTGTTTCCAGCCTGCTCAGCTCTGACCCAGGAGAGGGCGGGGCATGCTGTGGTTGGTACCATTGCGGGACGGAGGCAGCGAGGGCTGCCGGGCGAGCAGCTCTTTGCCCCCTCCACTCCACTTGGGCAGAGGCAGAGGCAATGGACTCAGATTACCCTAGAAAACTCAGGTCAGACACCAGAGAGGACTCTGCTTGGGAAAACCGGGGCGGGGGGGGGGGATGTCGAGTCCAGCTCTACTTGGGGCTGGAGGGCTTTCTGCGGCAGCCGCGTTAGGAAACACACTCTGGAGGGTGGACGTGTGGGCAGGGTAGAAGCCTGAGGGCTCCGACCTTCTTTCCTTCCAAAGCAGGCTCACACCTGGTGGAGGGAGAGCTAGAGTGGAGGCCACGTGGGAGGTACCAGTGCCTGGCCAGCAGGGAGCGTCTGGGGGTGGCAGGCGCCGCTCTGGTATGATGTACAAATGTCAGGAAGGGCTGAAAGGCTGATCCTTCCCCCCTGTGGTCCCCGAGCAGGGGGTCTCTGCATCGAGGTCTCTGCTCACGCTGTCCTCTGCAGGTGGACTCCCTGCAGGCCCTGCTGCGCAGCCCCTCCACGCTGGTGTGTGCTGGGAACGAGGCCTTCAGACCTCCAGCTCTGGAAAGCGCCCAGAAAAACAAGACTGAGACTTTATCTGGGATGACTTCAAGGAACAAACACAGTGAGTTTGCTTTAGGCTCCAATCTGATTTGCACTGCGTGGTGGGCTGGCAGGGCTGGGCAGCTACCTCCAGGCACCTGGGGAAATGTGCCCCCTGGCCTCGGTTCTTGTGTCTTTGTCCTTCTCTTAATTGCCAACCTTAACTGGGCTGAGCATTTTATGGGGATGGGAGAAGGCGGGATGAGGTATTTAAAGGAACAGGAATTAGGAAATCTTGAGCTGGAAGTTTCTAGGGTCTAAAGAACTTGCGGAGGGACACAGTGGGCCTGGCCTCACGGCAGAAAGGGCCTGGTGTGTGCAGATACTCGAATCCTCTGAGAGCCCTGGCTGTCTTAGGCAGCGGGCGGCCTGCAGCGGGGCCACTAGCACTGAAAAACCCTGACCAGAGGTCACACGCCTGCATGGGTCACGGCCGAGGCTCTGTTATCAAACATCACACCACTTAAAAGGCATGATGAACAGAGGTGAATAAAAAATCAAACCCAAATGACTGGACTGATGACGAGCAAACCTTAACAAGTAAACTAAGAAAACACCGACCCTGGGGCCGTCAGTGACCATGCCATGCTTGGGCTAGAGGCACAAGGCATCAGCCCAGGCCCCTCTCAGAGGAGCCCTGGGCTTCCCTGATGTGCCCAGATGTGCTCACAGGGTCTGCCAGGCTGGCCACGGGCTCAGCCTCTGCCCGCCCTGCCCTGTCACCACGCCTAGCTCAGGAGATGAGAGGAAAAATCCCTCAGTGGGCCCGTTCTTCCCCGGGGCCACTTTCTATCCTCACTGGCTCCTTCTTGTTTTCCTGGACGGGGTGCAGGCTGGGTGACCAGGGCCTGATAGTGTGCATCGGGACCCTTCCTGGCCGTCACTTATCAGCCCAAGGGCTTGATAAGGGTGAAATCAATCACCACAGGTAATCGCAGAGCCTTTTCCAGTGTGAGTCGGGCTGCAGGCGGCAGTGTGCTGAGGTGCCTCCTGGCCTGCAGCTAGGAGCCCAGCACTGACCCCTGCAGCCCTGCTGGCTCCGTACTGGTGGCTTTAGATGCATGGCTGGCCACACGCACATCCTCAGAGCAAGCCTCTCGGACCTGTGCAGTTCTGCTTCTCTCACAGTTCAGGAAAGAGTTCTGCCCAAAGCCACCCAGCTGGTGGCCAGGAGCGTGGAAGGTGGACTCCTGGTGGTGCATCAGGGTTGCCGCTCAGGGAGGCTTTCTCCTGGGACGTCCTGGCCTTTGCCTGGCTCAGGCAGGCCCCTCATGCTGGCCACCCCCCTCTCTGGACTCCTCATGAGTCCAGCTCATGACTTGTCATGTTGCTGCCCCTCCTCTGGGGACCCCCTAGTGGTCCAACAGGTCGCTGGGACCCTTCTCTGTTCTTCCTGCCAGGTTCCGCAGGCTCCCGTGGGCAGCTCTGACTCCCTTCGTGCAGTGGGGAGGCGGCGGGTGCCCTCCGCGTCGTCCCCGCTGGCTCACTGCCCTCTCTCTCCTCTTGCTCTCCACTGCACGCCAGGTTGCTGGGGGCCCAAGGCCAAGCAGAGCGTGATCCATTTGAGGTCCACGGCCAGCAGCAGACCGTCACAGTTCTCCTTGTCTGGTCTCAGAGACCCCTCAGCATCCTTGCATGGTGCCCCCGACAGGCACCCTCAGGACACGTCTGGCCCGCTGCTGGCTGGTGACAACGTGGAGAAGAAGGTCTGCATGAACGAGGATGGCAGCCTGTCTGTGGAGATGAAGGTCCGCCTGCACCTCCTGGGCGAGGAGACGCTGCTGTGGTCCCACAGGGCGGGAAGGGCCAGCACCCTCACGGCAGCCAGCGGGGAGGGCCCCGTCCTGGGGGAGGGGAGCCCCCTCTGCTGCCGATGGGGGGGCCACCCGTGGGGCTTCTCAAAGTCAGGGGCACAGAGACCGGGTCCCTGCGAGGCAGGACATCAGGGAGCGTTTGATGGAGGCCAGCAGCCACGGCCGAGCTTCGAGATCTGGAGGAACCCCCTGTATGTCCCCCAGGGTGAAGGGTCGGCTCCTTGGAGGAGGTCAGGGCCGGCCCAGCTCTCTCAGTGCAGGGGCCGCTGGAGTAGAGGGGCCAGGAACAGGGAAAGACAAAGCAGGGACAGCGTCAGCCCTTCCTCTAGTGCCGGACATGCGGAAGGCTCCGAGCCAGACTCCTGCAGCCCCAGGACCCCCGAGGGTGACGTGGGCAGTGACAGCCCATGTCCAGCCTCCACAGCTGCTTCCCAGTGTGGGGATGAGAGGGAGGCTGGTGAGGGCTCCTGCCCAGGGGAAGCAGAGCTGGGTGGCCAAGGACAACATGGCTGCTCGGGACCAGGGATCCCAGGTGCAAAGGGAGCCCTTTCTGACTCCTTGGCCAGTACCGGGCCTCATGAGGAGTCCAGCAAGTGGGATGGCCAGCATGAGGGCTGCCTGAGCCCAGTGAGGGTCAGGACTTCCCGGGAGAAGGGCTCCCAGGGCAGTAGCACTGATGCTCCCACCAGGAGTCTCACACCTCTGAGCGACGGGGACTCGCAAGCAGAGCAGTGTGAACAGGGCACCACACACCAGCAGGCCACGGAGGGACCCGTGACGGGGCCACCGCTGGCTCTAGGCCGTTCCCACTCTTGGGATGCAGAGGGAGGCTGTCCCTGGCTTCTCGCTCACGCCCCTGCCCAGCTGGGGAGGAGGAAGCGGCAGAGCCCGTCTAGCGCAGTGTCCTCACCTGGTACTGCCGGCGTGGTCCAGAGAGGCCGTGCCAGGCCGTGTCACCACTGCAGGGACACCCACTGCCTGCCAGACTCCCCCACAGCCTTACAGATGCCCAGGGCTGGCCCAGGTGGTCCAGGGCCACCGCTTTCTCAGAACTCATCCAGCACCAGAAAACAGGCCTCCAGGGACCTAGGACCATCCGTCCCTGGCTCTCTGGATTCCCAGGACCTACCAGAGGCCAGCAGTGCCAGCACCACACTCCTGAGTAACTCAGACTGTGCTGCAGAACTGGCGGGGGACACCGAGGGCAAGGTGTGCTCCCCAGAGCCCCTGCAAGGGGGTGGCAGTCTGGGGGACCAGGCAGAGGACACCCTAGAGCCCTCCTTGCCATTGGCTCTGCCAGTTGGATGTCCCGAGGGAGAAGAGCCAGGAGCCCACAAAAGCTGCTGCTGCCCACAGACTGGGTCCTCCCCTGTCCAGGGGAGCCCCAGTGAGCAAGCGAAGGCTGCCTGGGGGCCCTTCTCTGAAGCCTGCTGGGTGTGCAGTCGCTACTGCCCCACTCCTCCCAGGGGCCGGCCCTGCGCCAGGAAGCACCCAACAAGTAGCAGTAGCACCAGCAGTGACCACCAAAGGGCTGACGGGGGGCCAAGCAGGAGCAGGCTGGGGGATGAAAAACTCCAGGTGGAGAGGGGGCTGTCCCCTGGCCCTGAGTCAGGGACCATGGGGGCAAGAGTCATGGTGGCAGGCAGGACCAGCCCTGGTTCTGGGCCCAAGAGTGTATTGCTGGGGACCAGCTCTGGCAATGGGGGTGGCCTTGAGGAGCCTCGGGAAGATGGCACCATGACGCCCAATGATCTGCCCCACTCCTCACCGGATGCCATGGTCCGCGAATGGCTGGACAACATCCCAGAAGAGCCCCTGCACATGAGGCATGAGATGGTGGCCGAGGCCACAGGTGTGGTCAGCAACATCCCAGAAGGCCCCCGGGAGGACCCTGAAGGGGATCACTCTTTGAGCAGCACTGAGGAACAGGCTCAGGCTGGACGGCAGGCCCTGGAAGGGGGTACCCATGAGCCAGACAGAACCCCTCCAGGAACCAGTGACGCGGGCTCCAAGCCAGGAGACGGTTCTCATCAAGGTACAGCTCCGGGCCAGGCATCCAAGGCTGTGTCGGAGGCTGGAGTGGGAGAAGGGGCTACTGTGGGCCATGGCATGAGCCCGTGTGTCCTTCCGGGCAGAGATTCTGCCTCCATGCAGATCATGAAGGCCCTGATGGGCTCCAAGCACGGCCGACCCAGCAGCCTGCCAGAGGTGTCCAGTGCTGAGGCCAGGCGGCTCCGCCGCTTGGCAGGTGACCTCATTGCCTGCCTCGCCCGGCTCCACTTCTTTGATGAGGATCTTGGGTCTCCTGCTGGCAAAGTGAGACCCACACACTCAGCGCGCTACCAGGAGCTGCTGAACATCTCCCAGACCCTGTGGCCAGGGTGTGGCCTTGGACGAGGCATGCTGGACTTGAGTCTTGGGGACCTCACTTCACTACAGGCCCCGCAGGTGACGGACAACTTCACGCCCACCTCTTCCTCGGGTGTGGACGTCAGCAGTGGCTCCGGAGGCTCCGGGGAGGGTAGCGTGCCTTGTGCCACGGATGGTGCCCTGGTCCCCGAGAGGACGGAGCTGCCCCTGGAAATCTCCCGGAGGCCTGATTCCAGAACTTCGGGGCACCTGGAGGACCTGGGCACCCCGCAGCAAAGTGGTCTCCCAGCTTCTCCCAGCTCCCAGGTGTGCGCTTGTGCCACCAGCGGGGAAGAAGGAGGCGGCCTCGGGGAGCAGATGCTGGGCGATGGCCTGGAGCAATCAGACAACAACCCCGAAGGGTTTGTTGGAAACACGCTGCAGGAAGCGGAGGCGCAATCAGAAGAAACAGAAGAGACAGAAAGCCCCCCAGAAGAGGGCGTCGAGGAGGCGGGGCTCCTAGAAGAAGCCGGAGTCAGCGGGGAGGAGTCACCAGGTGGGGAAGGCACACTGGGAGACCCGGGGGTGCCGGAAGAGGAAGCAGGAGGAGACTCTGCTTCTGCAGGGCTGTGTCCCCCAGGAAGCGCAGAGGAATCCGCAGAATGCCCTCCTCGTCCTCTCAGTGAGAGGGACTCCAATGCCAGTGAGCGTCAAACTGGCCCCACATCAAAGTCCAGCTTGGAAGAGCTGTCCAGAGCAGATGTGCTGGGCTGTGAGCAAGCCCCGGCCAGGTTCACCCCAGGGACTGGGGAGTCCAGTGCATCTGCGGCCCACAGAGTGTTTCTGGAGCCTGACCCCACCTGGGTGTCCAAGTTGCTGAGGAAGATAGAGAAGGCCTTCATGAAGCACTTGGCTATTGCCACTGCTGAGCTCCGCGCCCGCTGGGACTTGCAGGACAACCCTCTGCTGGACCAGATGGTGGCCGAGCTAGAGCAGGACATAGGCCTCCGGCTCCAAGAAAGCACTGACAAAGAGCTCCAGAAGATAGAGAGCCGGACTGGGAGGATGGCCCTGGGGCCACCCAGGGAGGTCCTCAGGGGACAAGCGTCCCTGCAAACAGAGCAGCGCCGGCGTCGCCTCCAGGGTCTGCACAACCTCTTGGCCTTTTCTGAGCAGACCTATGCCCGGGCCCTCCACTCCTTCACCCTGGAGGACCGGCCCACCCTCCACGAAGCCCTAGGGGACCTGCCACGTGGGGAGACTGAGGAAGACGAGTTCTGTCCCTGTGAGGCCTGCATTAGGAAGAAAGTGTCCCCTGTGCCTCCAAAGGACACCCCAGGGGCCTCCAGTGCACCTATCAAAAAGGCCTTCGACCTACGGCAAATTCTGCAAAATCTTCAGAAGAAGAAAGAAGGGGGTACGGATGGAGAGGCGGAGGAGAGGGCCCCCGAGGAGACAGGGACAGAGCTGCCTCGGGACATCCCCGCAAGAGCCGGGTCTGTCCAGGGAGCTGATGGGAGTCAGGACCTGGGACCCACGGTGGGCAAGGAGAGTGAGGGTGAGGGGAGCCAGCGGCGCAGCAGAGACGAAGACGCTGAGCTAGAGGAGGCCGAGGAGGCTGGTTACCAGGAGAAGGTGGGGGACGCAGAGGCCGGGAGAGCCCACAGCCGCCATGGCAGCACTGCGGAGGAGGCTGAGCAGCCGGAGCAGGCTGTGACTGAGAAGGAAGGAGCCATGTGTGAGCACTCTGGGGAGGGGGACACCTCGGAGGCTGCAGGAGGACCTGGTGACGGTGTCGATGCCACAGAGGCCCAGGAAGCTGGAGGAGGCAGGCGGCTGGAGTCCGCGGGAGGAAGTCAAGGTGAGGAAGAAGGTGGCCCTCTAGCTAGCCCGGGACAGGGACAGAGAAGGGAGGCTTCTGAAAACAGCATCACAGACCAAGAGGTGACCCCACCATCACCTGCCCCAAGTGAGGACACCCCTCACCCGGGGCCAGACCCCCAAACCCATGACTGCTCCTCCAGAACCTTCACCCTGGGCAACTGCTCCCTGGTCTCCCAGAAAGGCTCAGAGGAAGTTCAGGCAGGCGGAGACCCCGGGGACACTGGGGCCGAGTCAGAGCCACCTGCAGAGGAAAAAGTCACCTCCATGTATCCGGAGAGTTCCACTTCTGAGCATGAGGAGCCCCCTTCAGACCCAGAGACTCTAGAGCAGGGGTCAGGCAGAGACTGTGGCGAAGGCAATGAGGAGAAGGCCCCCCAAAGCTCCCCGAGTGCCCCCGCGGGGGCGGGGCCCGGGACAGATGGCTTCCACCAAGAAGACCTGGACTTCTAGGCATCAAGCGGCAAGACGGCCTGAGAGTGGGAGCTGCTTTTATTCATATTTTATCCTTAACCCTGAGCACGGCTCAGCCTCAGGGGACTAAAAGGATCATGGGCAAAGATGGAGACTCAACAAGGACGCAGCCCGGCCACACTGTCCCTGAGGTCTGCAATGAGGCTTCAGAGAGGAGCCTGGCCACACATGGCGCCAGGAAGGCTTACCTGCTGCCCCTCTATTATCGGAGGCCAGACGCGGCCCGGTTGTCTGCAGGGCCCAGAGGACGGCGCGGGCTGGAAATGTGCCAGGGTTTCGGGTGGCTTTCTGCTAGCCAGTGCTGCTGGGTCCCTTTCCCCATTGATCCCCCATTATTTTCCTCCTTGGTTTCTCCTGGCACTCACCTTATTTGACTTTGAGGGGCTTTTTTTTTTTTTTTTTTTTCGTAGTCTTGAATGTATTTGGTGACTGCAGATGTAAATATTTGGGGAAAACAGATAAATTCAGGGCATTGGATAAAGTTTGTTCTTAGCCCCAAAGTCCAAGTGTTTTTTCTTAATTCATATATTTTGTAAAGAAAAAAAAAAAAACAGGAAGAAGAAGGGCTTACTCCTGATCCCATCAACCAGAGGCAGCTTCTGTTTCCCAAGCATGTGCAGTTGAGATTGTTCTTTGTATAACATTTATATGCTGCTTAAAAAGAAAAAAAAAGAAAAGAAAAGCTTAGCTAGGTAAGAATTTCCCTATTTCTCTCAAACATTGCATAAACCTACTTTTACACCTGAAAAACGGTGCATTGTGAGAACATGAAGTACCTCACCTTTACCTACTGATGTCCATTTTGGCTTCCGTTATTATTTTCTTACAATATTTTTTTTTTCTGAGCTTCCGAGGCTTTCTTTAGGATGATCCCAAGCATAAGATTACTGGGCCAAATGATATCAACATTTCTAGGCTCTTGGAATACTTTAACTTAACTATTTTTCCAACAGTGGGTATATCCCTGGCCTGGCGTGTGGTCATCAGGGTTGGCAGTGCCCTTACAAATAAGAAGTCATTTGCTATTTTTATAGGCAAAGGCAATACTTCATTTTAATGGGGTACTATTTTAGATATATCTGATTACTAATGAAATAAAAAACTTTAGGTTTAAAATGTTTGCATATAGATTATATGTGTATGCCTTTTGCCCATTTTTCTATTGATGTCCTAGCCCTCACCCCTTTTTAAAAAAATTTAATCACATGTACCCATCATCATTTTTTTTTTAATTCACTTATTATTTTTGAGATTTTAAAAAAAAAGCTCTCTGTCCTCTTCTTCCATAGCAGGCCATGGGCTGGGTCCTCTCTATGTAGGGAGCTCCCAGATGGGACCCAATTTCTTTGACTAGTTCTCAACTGTTCCCTGTTCATTTTGTGGTATCCAGATTCACAAAAATGGACATCTGTGACACAGGAACAGGGTTCAGTCACTGGTTTTTTTAAACGTATCCACCAAAAGCAAAGGTCTAAGTGTGCTGTCTGTAGTCACCTACTCTGCAGACGGAGGAGATGTCTCAATAAAACGTGGCATGTTTTAAAATTTCTATGCAGGTGATTCCTTAAGGTTTTTGCAGTAAATAAAGACATAAGCACGTGTCTACACACACACGAGTATTTATATGTCTGGAGGGTGGAGTCTTGAGCTGGTTTTCCAACAATCAATCAGCATCGACTGACACTGATACTGGCTGAGGGGCTGCTGGAGACCAGGGCCAGCCGTCAGGCAGAGTGAAGCAGCAGCACCTTCTTAGATGGCCCAGTGGGACAGATGGCAGAGTGAGCTTGGTCTGGATATGGTGATGTGCACAGCTCTCCAGCTCTTGTCACTGTGAGTTGGCATGAAGCATCCAGCAGGCACCTCCTCTGTGATTTGAGGTCCCCAGTCATTCCCCGAGAGACGCTCCAGTGCCTGAGTTTGACTTCCTGCTGTCTCCCCTAATGCCAGAGTCCCTGCCACCCACTACCAGGTGCTTCGTTGAAGTGGCACTGTCTGTCTCTAGCAGGAGAATGTGTGGAAAGAGCATGAAACGTGGGGTTGGAGGGCCTCGGTCAAGTCCTCAGGCCCAACACCTGTGCAGTGGCAGACGAGACCACACAAGAGACTGCGTTACCCACACATTGAGGAATATGGACATTTTAATTATGGCTGCTCTGTGTTCAAAGCTCCAACTCTCTCAGGTACCATACTGGAATCGTCACAGAAATTATTCCATGTCACCTTCCCAGCACATCTGCCAAGTAAGCACGTAGACGTTGTTAGGCCCATTTCACAAAAAAAACGGGGGGTGGGGGGTGCATAGGAGACATAAACTTGCCTCCGCCCACAAAGCTAGTTAGGGGCGAGGCCAACTCTACGCTCAGCTATTTCAGACTCTAAAGTCCATGTCCTTTTCTATTGTATCTTTTTTTTTTTCATTGCAATTCAGGTCCTGTGAATAAGTAACTTAGCTAAAGGTGGGGGACACTTTGTTGAATGTACTGCAAAAGAGTGAAGGCTTAGGAAAATAAATTAGACGGGATTCTTTTGCTGATTGCATTGTCTTTAGTAGTGTTCTACTTCTGTACAGATATCAGAAGCAGGCGAAAGCCTGCGTTCATAAAGCCAAGGGTTGAACTGAAAACTTACCTATCTATCCACGGGATTCTCCTCTTAGTTACAAACTCACCTGCTTTAAGCCTCCAAATATTTCTGCCCTTTATGTTTTAAAAACTTGCTGTTAATGGACAACTCCGTGCTTTCTTCTGGCTTGGAGATAAGGAATCTCATGGCCATACCTGAGGCGGGGATCTTGGTGTCCCCTCCCCACCCCTCCCCACCCCTCCGCCACAGCAACTGTGCAGCTCATGCCTCTGTAATTCAGCGTCTCTTGAAAAGGCTGGTGATCCTGTGGTCTTAGCCAGCTCCTGAGTCAAAATTTGAGCCATTCATCCCTCCAAACTCTGCCCAAGTACTCACAGCATCGGTGGTAAGGCAAAACCTTTTACCTGGTTGGGGAAAGAACCAACCCTTCCCCCCACCCTCATTGTCCGGCTGGCAGAGATCAGAAAGTCCAGGCTGTAAGGATCACCTTTCAGTGGCTGGGAACCTAAGACCCGTGTCCAGGACCCACACCCAGAAACTGACTTTATTGACCTGATTAGGTCTCTAGTTCTACTTCTTTTTAATGCTTCCAGATGCATTGGATAGCTGGTTGAGGTGGCTGGTCCCTGAGTTAGCCAACATCCTCCTGACAGATCCACCTTGGAGAAGGGTGGCCTTTCCCAGAGCTCCCTAGTACCCCTCAGCCAGAGGCAAGAGAGAAAAGCAGTAAAGAGCAAACTGCTCCCTGGTCCTCAGACCACGTGCCCTCTTCTTGTGGGCCCCCACCTTCCTGCTCACCCAGATCCCTGCATCAATCTCCCCAAGGGCCCTTCTAAAATGACCAGAGTGAGGGGACCTGCCTCAGTCTTATCAGACTGAGGAGGAGTGGAGTGGGGTAGCCTGCTGCAGGTTCCCAACAAATCATGAGCCAGCTGTCTTCCCCTCACTTTACCCTGCCTCGAGAAGCCTAGTAAACATACAGCTTGGCTCGTGCAAAATCCCTATCCAGGGAGTCTGATGTGGGGCCCGAACGTGCAACTCAACAAGCACTGGCTTAAACACCAGATGCCTGCATTTATCAGTCAGACCCTCACCCCACCAGGAATGGGCATCCCCAAGGGGCTGAGCACCTCTCACCAGCCTCAGCCCCACCAATACACACACACACACACACACACACAGTTGAGGCACACACATGCACACAGGTTCCCATGCGCGCACACACACATATGTGTGCACAATGCAAACATTCACACACCCATGCGCAATGCGCACCTGTGCACACAGGCACACAGGCACTCACACACGTCCATGTGCGCAGATGGTCTTACTGTCCCTCGTTACACAGTCTCCCCAGGGAATGCTGGTCAGCCCCAGTTGCCCTCTCTCTCCGCTCCGCCTCCTGAGAGGCAATTAGGTGGGTAAAGATCACCCTCCCTGACCCTCTCTCCCCGCCCCCACGTCCAGAGGCCCAGCAGGCAACACAGGCCCCTGGGACGTGTGTAAAGGGATGTCACCCAGGACACACAGACCTGGGCTGCCAGGTCTCTGGCTCAGTCCCCGTCACTGACCAGGCCAACCTCAACAAAGTGACTAATTTGTTTATCTTGTGCCGCCGCCAGCCCTGGCCTCCTGGGGGAATTGGCACGGGGTCTTTAGGCTTCCTACCAGCAAAGTGCTGAGTCTGAACGGACCTGAACCAGGGATAGGGGCTGCTTTCTCATGGAGCGCCTCCTTGGGACCTGGCCCCCACCCTTCCCCTGCCTCCCCTCCACTCTGAGAGGTACCTACAGAGCCCACTAGGCCTGCATCCCTACAAGGCCTCACCAGGTCCACCTGGGTCTCCCTGCTCCCAGATTTCGAGGTCTGGTTGGGAATGAAGTGAGTCCATGGCACCGGTCCTAGCTGAGCAGGTGGATGAGGAACCCCTCTGCTGCTGCCCCCGCCCCTTCACGCAGTTCTTTACCTAGCTGCCCCATTGCACCCTGGGGGCAAGGCCCCCTATGGCTGCCATCCACTTCCAGATGCCAGCTGCTTTCCTGCCACCACCACCGGGGATGAGTGGCTCCTAACAACTACTGCCCCTGCTCTGGGACCACCTTCCCTTCTTGCCCCCCGCAGCCCAGTGCTGGCTCCTTGCAGGGCAAACGCAGGTGTCCATTGCTGCCCTCTACCTGCAGCTCCCGGTGACTTCATCAACTCTATTGTTCTTCTACTACTTTGGGGCAGATGCTCCCCACATCCAGGCTCCCACCAAGGCTCTTTCCAAGCTCCCAATCATCCTCCTTAGAAAGCCTGATCCCGACCCACTGCTCAGACCCAGCCCTGGCTGACCTGGCCTCTTCTGCCCACCACACACCTGCCAAAGCAGCCCGGGGCCTGGTGGTTCCTCC